CGGGCGTTTTACAAAAAGGAAATAAAAAGTTTAAGCAAAACTTTGAGCAGGCCACCAAGAAAAGGCCCGTTGAAGGTGAGACTAATATTTTTGAGGTTTTTGACCAAACGGAAAACAGCAACAATTGGCGCAGCATTTACGAGAAAGTATTTACCGGTGAGGAAATTTCATTTGTACGCAAGCGAGACGGCCGCGTTTATACCGTTCAAATTAACCCGCTATACGATGCCGATGCCCGAGTAATTGGTGCTGCAGGCTTTACCTGGGACATTACCGATGAAGCCAAGGCCCAGGAGCAGATTAGCCTGGCCTCCCATCGGCTTAAAGCCGCCCTGGAAAACGCACACCAAGGCCTGTGGGACTGGAATTTTGACACCGATGAATTGTACCTGGACGAGACCTTTGCCCGGCTGCACGATTTTCACATAGGCGATTTGGGCAACAATTTTGACTTTTGGCAAAAACACATTTCTGATGAGCACCTCCAGCGTTTTAAAAACTATATAGCCGATGCCAAAAACCCCAACACGGCACCCGCGGCCAGCTTTGATTACCAGGGAATAAAGAAAGACGGCAGCAAAGTTTGGTTTAAGCTGGCCGGCAGTGTTATAAAGTACGATGATTCAGGCCGGGCCTTGCGCATGATTGGCACCATTACCGATGTAACCGACAGAAAAGAGGATGAATTGCGCTTGCGCAAACTGTATGAATCTGAACAGGAGCTGAACGAAGAGCTGCGTGAACGCGAGCAGCAACTTACACAGAGCCAGAACGAAATAAACAGAAAACTTCAAGAAATACGGGAGGTACAAGAGGAAGTAAAAGCCAGTGAGCACCGCATGAGGCGGGTAATTCAAAACCTACCCGTAGGCGCCATTTTACTGCAAAACGATGAGTTTTTATTAAACAATAAAGCGGTTGAAATAACCGGCTATTCCGCCCACGAATTATCAAACCCCGATGAATACTTCCGCAAACTTTACCCGGGAAGCCATAAAGAAGTAGCCGAGCAATATAGGGAGGTTCTTTCTTCGGGGAACATCAGCAACTTTGTGTTCTACCTCTACACCAAGTCGGGTGAAAAGCGCTACATAGAATTTGGTGGGTATAACTTTGGTGATGGCGTGGTGTGGACCCTGCAAGATATTACCGAAAAGCGCAGGGCTGAGCAGTCTTTGATTAGAAATGAAAAAGCCATTCGCGATTTGTATAAAATTAGCGCCAATCGCGAATTAGACTTTGATAAGAAAGTTCAGCTTTTCTTAGAGTTGGGCACCGAGCGCTTTAAAATGCCCAACGGTATTTTATCTAAAATACATGCTGGCCAGGAACAGTTTGAAATTGAGGCCATTTACAGCAAAGAGTTTGAAAACCTAGAGGGTGAAAGGTTCAGCCTGCAAAACACCGTTGTGGAAAGAATATTTAACAGCCACAATACCATGGCCTTTGCATCGCGCAAAGAGGCACCTGCCATGCGCGAACGTGAAAGAGGCGAGTACGCCATTCACAGTTACATAGGCGCTCCCGTGCTGGTAAACGGTGAAATTTACGGGGTGCTGAGTTTTAGCAGTCAGAAGGATAAAAAAGGCGGATTTTCCAGCAATGACGAAGATTTGCTGCTGCTTATGGCCAGGTGGCTGGGCAGTGAAATTGAAGCCCTGCATTGGCAAAATTCACTGGTGGAAGCTAAAAATGATGCGGAACAAGCCGCACGGGCCAAGTCAGACTTCCTGGCAACCATGAGCCACGAGATAAGAACCCCTATGAACGGGGTAATAGGCATGACCAGCCTGCTGTTGCAGACCCAACTGAACAGTGAGCAACTGGATTACGTGAACACCATTCGCCTTAGTGGCGACACCTTGCTGTCGGTTATAAACGACATACTGGACTTCAGCAAAATTGAAGCCGGTAATATGAGCTTAGAAGAATATCCCTTTGAGCTGAAGCAATGCATTGAAGAGGCCGTTGAGCTCTTAAGCAGTAAAGTGAGCCAGAAAAGGCTGGAGCTCACTTATTTTGTTGACCCTGAAATTCCTGCCTTCGTACGCAGTGACATTACCCGCCTGCGCCAGGTATTGCTAAACCTGCTCAATAATGCTGTGAAGTTTACCGATGAGGGGGAAATTGAAATCCGGGCCGATTTAGAAGAGCGCAAAGGCGAGCGGGTTAAAATTCACTTCACCGTTAGAGATACCGGTATAGGCATATCAAAAGAGCAGCAAAAAAAGTTGTTCCAGGCCTTTAGTCAAGCCGACTCTTCCACCACTCGCAAATTTGGTGGCACCGGCTTGGGCCTCGCCATCAGCAAGAAGCTGGTAGAAATGATGGGGGGTAAGATTTGGGTTGAAAGTGAGAAAAATATAGGTTCAGAATTTCAGTTTACCATTGCCACCGAAGCCGTTCAGAAAAAGCAAAGCCTGGAAAAACGCGAAATACTGGAAAAATTACAAGGCTTGCGCGTACTGGTGGTTGACGACAATAGCACCAATCAAAAAGTACTGGACAAGCAACTAAAAATTTGGGGCATGGAGCCCACGGCCGCCATGAACTCAAAAGCCGGCCTGGAAAAGGCCTTGAGCGGCAAGTACGATTTGGTTATTATGGACCTGGAAATGCCGGGCATGGACGGGCTGGAAACCACAAGAAAGCTGCGGGAGGTAAAATCAAAGGATGAACTGCCCGTTATATTCCTCACTTCTGCCAACCCTGAGCTTTCTGAAAGCGACACCAAAGAACTCTTTAACGACAGCTTTCTCAAACCCATTAAACACAGTATTTTGCTGGGCAGTATTACCCAGCACGCGGTGGGCATCAAGCGAAGGAGCAGTCCAGCCAAGAATAAAGAAGAGTTTAAAGACCTCAGTCAGCAATATCCCTTAAACATACTTTTGGCCGAAGACAATGCCGTGAATCAAAAACTGGCCTTGCTCACCTTGAAAAAAATGGGCTACACAGCCGATGCCGTGGCCAATGGCCTGGAAGCAATACAGGCACTGGAAAGACAACCCTACGATCTGGTTTTCATGGACATTCAAATGCCAGAAATGGATGGCGTGGAAGCTACCGAACAAATACACGCCAAGTACGGTGAAAACCGTCCGGCCATAATTGCGATGACCGCTCACGCCATGCAGGGCGACCGAGAGAAATACCTCGCCAAAGGCATGGACGATTACATCAGCAAGCCCATCAACATGAAGGTGATTGAAAAAGTACTAAAAGAGGTTTACGAAAAGCAAAACCTGGTGGAATGACACGTGCCGTGTTTGAGCTGCAAAACGAAGCTCTATTTATCAAAGAAAAATGCCTCTGTCAGGCTGAATCACAAGCCTTTTTCACCCTGCTCGACTCCAACAACAACCTTGATAAACACGGGAAATACGAATGGATATGCGCTTGGGGTAATGCCAAATCAATAGCGGCCTCCGCACAGTCGTTCAAGGCCCTAAGAGCTTNNTCAGTTTTGGCTACGAGCACCTGAGCTTTTTTATTCCCGAACACGTGGTTTACGCTACAGCGGATGGCGTTTTTTGCGAAAGCCTGCTTTTTGGCAACGCACAGGAGTTGCTGCAGCACCTCAATCAAAAGGGCAATTTATCTGTGGTAAGCGAGGGGCCAAAATTTACCCTGAACACCTCGCGCTCAAGCTATCTGAAAAAAATTGATGCGTTAAAAAAAGAGTTGCAATACGGGAATATCTATGAAATTAACTTTTGCATTGAGTTTATTGGTCGGGAAACCATTCAGCCCCTGAGCTATTTCAAAACCCTGAACGCTATTCATCGCGCGCCTTTCACTGCCTTTTATAAAAACAACAACAACTATTTACTGTGCTTTTCGCCCGAACGCTATCTGAAAAAAACCGGCACCTGGCTAATCTCTCAACCCATAAAGGGCACCGCGCCCCGAGGCGAAAATAAACACCGCGATGATGAAATTAAGGCCGATTTACTGGCCTCGGANNTAATGATCGTTGATTTGGTGCGCAATGATTTGAGCCGAACCGCCAAAGCCGGCAGTGTAAAGGTTCCGGAGTTGTTTCAAATTTATAGCTATCCGGCCGTACACCAGATGACCAGCACCATAGAAAGTGAAATGGCCCCTACTTTCGATTTTATTGATGCCTTGGCCACCAGCTTCCCCATGGGCAGCATGACGGGCGCACCAAAAATTTCTGCTTTAAAACTCATTGACGCACACGAAAATTTTAATCGCAGCCTGTATTCAGGTTCGGTGGGCTACATAAGCCCCGAAGGCGATTTTGATTTTAACGTAGTTATTCGAAGCATCATGTATAATTCAGCCAGCAAACTGAGTAGTGTGCGCGTAGGAAGTGCCATTACCATTCACTGCGATGCAGAAAAGGAATTTGAGGAATGCCTGCTCAAAGCGGAAAAATTAATACGCTAAGCAGCGGAAGTTTGGCCCCATCCGGCATACCGGACCGGGCTTTTCCTGGTAAGCTGCTGAGAACTCCCTCTGGCCTACGCCAATACCCCTTTAAGAATGGGTCTATTTTTACTTAGCAGCAATATGGCGCACAGCTGCCGATAACACATAAATCTTTGATATTTGCATCATGCTGAAGCACGCAAAAAAAGCCCTTCTTCAATTTAAGGAGAGTCACAACCACCTTCTTTTGGCCTGTAGCGGTGGGCGCGACAGCACGGTGCTTTTGCATTTTTTGGTACACCAGGGCCTGAAGCCGGCTGTGGCGCATTGCAACTTTAAGCTCAGAGGCAAGGAGGCTGACGAAGACGAGGCCTTCGTAAAGCATTTGGCCGGCAAATTGGGCTTGCCCTTTTACACCAAAAGTTTTAACACCGCAAACTACGCAGATAAAAACGGCATTTCCATTCAAATGGCTGCCCGTGAACTGCGTTATTCCTGGTTTGATGAGCTGATGAAAAAAGACGGCTTTCAACTCTTGCTCACGGCTCATCATTTTAACGACCAACTGGAAAGCTTCTTAATTAATTTCGGCAGGGGAAGAGGCATTGCCGGACTCACCGGAATTGAGCAGGGCAACAGGATACTTCGGCCCTTTTTGCAGCATACGCGACAGGAAATCAATAGCTACGCAAAAAGGCATAAGCTGAAGTGGCGCGAAGACAGCAGCAATAAAAAAACCGACTATTTGCGCAACCGCATTCGGCATAAAGTTATTCCGGAGTTGGAGGCCTGTTTTCCGAATTTTGATAAAAGCGCGGGCGACACCTTGGCTCACCTCCGTGAAACCCAGCAGGCCATGCACTTTCTACTGGAAGAAAAGCTTCAGGGCAGCCTGCATAAGTCTGACATGGAAGAAACCCTTGACGTTTCAAAACACCTTGAACAACCCTACTGGCCAACGCTGGTGCATTACTGGCTGCGGCATAAAGGCAATTTCGACTGGGAAGCACTAAAAAAGCTGGATACCACCATTAATGGCCAAAACTTTTCAAACGAAACCCACGACCTTACGCACAATCGCGGCATCCTCATTCTTCGGAAAGCATCGAAAAACCAGGACCATGCCTTTGAAATAAATACCGAAACCCGCCATTTAGAATTCCCCCTGCGCTGGGAAAGTGGC